GGAGGGAGCCTGTCATGGCAGGGAACACAGATTTTCAAGAGGCCTGGATCAGCTTCGGTCCACGTGGGCTTGCTCCAGTGTGGTGACATCTCTGTGCACTGGACAGTTCTGCAGTGGACGTGGTACATGTGATGTGGTCTCCCAGTGCTGAGTGATGCCTTGCTGGCTTCACTGTTGCTAATACAGCCCAGGATGCAGTTCGCCTTCAACACTGCAAGGGTGCATTGCTGACTCCTGGGCAGACTGCTGTTTACCAGCAACCCCAAGCCCTTTTCTGTTGAGCCTCCCCACTCCAGTCAGGTTGTACATCCAGGCTGGAGTGCAAATGACTTTTAAACCAGCAGACATATCTCTCAGTCCAGAAATACTACTCTCCAGTCATCTCAGACTGGGAAGCCTTTCTCAACCAGCAGTTCCTCATGCATCTACCTCCTCGCGCATCAGGGCTGCAGGCCCGCAGATGCCTCCAGGGCACCCAACTGAACATGACACTGCCATGGCTCTGCAGGGTGCCCTGGGACCTCCGTCACATTTCTCCGCGTGAGAGTCCCAAGCTGTTCAGGATTCACAGCCATAAGCCTTCCTCAAGCTCAGCGTTTCTTCCAAAGACACAGGAGAGGGACCATGGCTTCTTTCAAGCCCAAAGTTCAAACTTCATTCCATCACAAATGAGCCACATTCCCCTCCTGCAGCAGAATATGATGGGATTGGCTTACCCGCATCTCTCCCAACCTCAGGGAGCCCACCACCCTCTCCACATTCCAAAGCGCGGTGGTTTCTTCCCTTTCCCAGCATAGACCAACCACCCAGCCCTGGACAGGAGCAAACTATGAGCGAGGGTTTTGCAAGATACCAGGCTTTGCTGGCCCTGTTGGCTAATCGTGGTCTTACAGGCACACTTCAGTGCACAGTGGTTGGAACAAGCCACTGGAAGCACTATTGCATCCAGGGACCTGAGAACCAAACCAGAGACAGAATTAGGTACAACACCTCAACTCAGCTGTGGACAACAACCGTAGCAAAGGGAGGAAAGCTACAGGCTGCTGCCAGCAACAGTCAGCAGCGGGGAGAATCAGTGTCAGGCCTTTCACCATGGAACACAGATCACCTTGAACTCAGCAGCCGACACGCCAGCCCTGCGGGAGGTGAGCTCTGCACGTCCCGGGGAGATCTGTCATGCCTTGGGCAGGTGAGTCTCCTTGCCCAGGAGAGGACCTGCATAATACACCTACTTTCCCCCAGGTCCACCACCCCAGAGGCTGGATAGAGTGATCCCCCCCACTTGTGTGCGGTGTCGCGGCAGCAGGCAGACACGAGGCAGAACTCTGGCTCCAGGTTTTATTGCAGCTGATTTCTCCCACCATGGGTAGCAGAGCTGTGGGGCGTGCGGGGCCCGGGGAGGGAGCGGGGCCTGAGAAAAGCAGGGGTACACCGGCTGCGCAGGGGAGGGGCCTTGCACTGTGTCACCCTCCCCAGGACAGGGGTGGGCACACCTGCCCCAAACCAGTGCCTGTGTCCCAGTGCCGGCCAGCACCACGGCACTGGTCAAAGCTGCCTGTCTGCCCGGGGCTCCAGGCCATTGCTCCTGAGCCCAGAGCCGCTGTGCTTCAGCTGATGACGGCGTGGGACCTGCGGGCAGCACAGGACGTGCACCAGGACTGGCACGGGGCTGTTGGCAGGCACGGGAATGGGGCACGGAGCTGGGGAAGGTGGCACTGCCCCAAGCTCCCAGGAGGCTGGGCGCTGCGGCACGTTCAGCACACGTCTGTGGGTTTGACCAGGATGAGGGAGGATGCACAGTCGCCTTTATCGCAGAATCCTGGCCACAGGATGTGCTTCTTGGCATTGAGCAGGACGTTCTGGCATTTGTCGTACCACCAGCCCCCGTAGCTGTTGGCGCAGTTCCCACTGTACTGGTCCTGGTCCTTGTCGGTCATGCTGAACTTCATGTTGTCATGGATGCCCCCCTTCTTGGGGTGACAGCTGGTCAGGTAGTCATCCCCATCACCAGAAAACCAGCCCAGCCTCAGTGGGTACCCGCTGGCCTCGCTCTCCACTCTGAAGATGTCGTACTCAGCATAATGGGTGATGTTGGCTTTATTCCGCACGATGAAGTGGACCTTGTAGGTGCCCTGCTGCATCAGCAGGTGCAGGTACTCGGTGCCCAGCCAGTGATCACCCTGCACGTTCCCGAAGCCGTACTTGTAGGTGGTCCAGGATTGCCTCCACGTGAGCTCAGTGTCGTGAGAGTTTCTCTGGACAACAGTCCAGCCCTTGCCCTCGGTGTCCAAGTCACACCACACCACGTGCGGGGGGACTGCGCCGGCTGGATGACGTACACCCCGCTGGGGCTGTTCTTGCAGAGATGACTACAGTCTGTGGGGAACCCTGTGGCGGCAGCAGTGGGAAACACATGTTGGGGTGGGAGAGGGAAGGATCAGATGAGTCTGTCAGGGCAGCAAGGAGCTCCTGTAGCAGAGTGAAGACTCAGGACAAGAAGGGCTCCTTTTTTTGTGGTCTACTTCTCAGTGTGGTGGGGCTTTTCCACTGGCTCATCTACAGAGCAACCGAAGGTCTGTAGGACAGTAGCCCTGGTAAGAGCCCTAGGATCTATTTCTCATGACTTGCTATTTCATTTGGAGCCTTCTAACGCATCTGGCCAAGAAAAGAGGGGAAAAAAGGTCTTCCAGGTGCCAGAGATGGCCTCCAGGTATATCTGGTCCTCATACAGGGCCCCTTGATATATGGAGCTGCAGCTCTTGCAAGGATCAGAAGTGTCCAAAATGCTCCACTGGATGAAGATATGTCGTGAAAATTTATGTTTTCTCTGAGAGTCATGGCATTGCAAAAGAAAGCTAAGTTCTACCTCAGCCTCATAGGAATCTCGTCTCCCAGCTTGTTGCAGTTTATCTGTTAGCAGGACTGATCTGTCGTGACTTACTTGCCAAATTGATTTGTTGTCTGATTTGTTTTTCTTGTTTTGTGTCTGATGAGAGACAATATGCTGTGAGTAATTCTGTTTCAGCCCATGAAATTCTGTTTTTCTTGGGCACACAGCTCTTGCAGGGAGTGTAACCCTTCCATGCAGGGGGGACGGGAATACCCCTAATCCAACAAGAGCTAAAAAAAAAAAATTGCTGGGAGGATCTCTCCTAGGACCGAAGTGTAAAAAGACACAAGCACCGCAGAGCACTCCTGCCAGGTTATGGTGTTTGGGCAGAAACGCCTTGATTTCAGCATGGAGCCTCCAAGGGGGGGGTGGCTTGGCAGGTGTCAGGCTGCTCACCTTACAGGGATTGGTGTGTGTGAGGAATTCTTGCGTTGGGGTGCCCACACCCTGGGTACACGCTGACCTTCCTAGCCCTTAGCAGACCTGAGAGCCGGTGCAGATCTAGGCAGACGCTGTCCTGCTCTGCACCTGGGTGCACGGTCAGTGCCCCCACCCACCCCGTACTCACCGCTCCGGGAGCTGGCAGTGGGCACTGCCAGGCCAGCGCTCGCGCAGAGGAGAAGCATCCCCACCACGGCGGGCAGGAGGACAAGGTCACCGCGGAGCTGACGCGTCCCAGCCTGGAGTCCTGGGGAGGAAAGGGCCCATCACCGCCAGGATCCCCAGGCAGCCTGCTGGCCCCTGGGGAGCTCGGGCTGGGGCAGGCAGAGCCCTGGGGCACAGGCAGGAGCAGGGGCTCCCGGGATGGTGAGAGCTGCAGCTTTGGCACAGGCTCTGCCCCTGCAGGGCTGAAGCAAGGGCAGAAACCGCTTTGCCACCCTCCTGGTCAACCCCTGCACCAGCCAGCCAGCAACCTGCAGACCTGTTCTCAGAGCCTACGGCTCAAGAGTTGCTAAGAGAGGACAATGACACATCTAGGTCTGGGGAAGAGTAGTTTGCCAGGGCAGAGGCATCATAGGATACAGTTCTTTTTGCAGTGATCATGCTTAAGCCTTTTGTATAAGCCACTCCAGCCCAATGACACCTCGCAGGAAACCAGATCCAGAGATGGGTCCTGTTGCACATATGCCAGTTCCCAAGCAGATGGGAGGAAATCTCCTGGGCCTACACAGCGACACAAGCCCAAACCCTCCATGCTGGCCACCAGCACACCCTTACGCCCTGCACTAGCTCAGTTATTGGGGGAGATGCCACCACACCTGGGGAAGGACTCCTGTGCAACCATATGTGCCACATGCGTTGGTCAGGAAGAGAAAGGACCAAGTGGAAAGCTAGGTCTGCACATTAACCTCCCTTGACTGTACACTGGAACACAGGGCATAGGTAGCCTGGGGAAAGCATAGACTGGCACCAAGCATGTGTGTCATTTGGCGCTTTGGTCTTGCGTCCCTTCTGCTACCAGGGTTCCTGGCAGCATGCATCACCCTGGCAAGAGCATGGCTGCTGCTCTGCTAATCAGCTTGTGCCTTTGTATACTCACCCCGGTCACGTCTTGTCTGAGCCCAGCACCACACATGAATGCAGTGTGCCGCTGGGAAGAGAACTCACCCATCACAACAGCACGGCTCAGCAGAGAGCAGGAACCCGGTGGTGCATCCTCCCATGCCGAGCTTTCCGCTGTGACTTTATAGGCACCGCACACACCCAATCGTGTTCACACTTGTTATTTGTAAAGGCACAAGGAGGCATTTGCAGGTTGTGACTCAAGAAGTTTTCAGATCCCATGACAGCAGAACTGAAGCCCCTGAGGGGAGGGAGGCATGCCCTCCCAGCCAGAGACGTACAAAATAATACCCTCCATGACGAGGGATCTCAACTATTGACTCTACCAGCTACACAAACACTACATGTGAATTGCCTGCTTGAAGCAAATTCTGGAGAGCTGTGGTCAAACCAAAGTGGAGAGACTCAGCTTTATAAGGACATACACACAGAAACTAGCAAAGGAGGAGAGATTAGCTCTCCTATGTGCGCAGTCCCAAAGGTGACCTTGGAAAGATGAGGATAGGTCCTCAAGAGAGGTGCCTACCTGCTACCTTTCCACTGGCAGGTTTCAGGATCAATGGGTGAAGTCATTGGGCTGGAACCAGTGTCCAGCAGCCAGAAGTCGCTGTGTCCCCTGGCACCCCAAACTGCACGCTCTGAGTAGGGGGCCAGGGCTCCAGGTCACAAACAGGTGCCTGTGGGTCCCTTTGCCACTCTCCTTCCCAAACTCTGTCTTTGGCCTGGTGAGACCCTGCAGATCCCCCACCAGCCCCAGAAGGGTCGACCGGGGGTTGCTTCCTCTACAGGAGAAAAATGTTCTCAGGGCAGGGAGGGAGATTTGTTCTTCACGCCAGAAGGTGCAGACATCTCCACCACTTTGTCAAGCCCATTTTAAGGGGTAGAGATGTGGCCCTTCTACTTTCCTCTCCTGTGTTGGTTTCAGTAGCCTACTGACCAGATGTCTTTTTCATGGCACAAATTTAAACCCGGGGTTCACAGAAAGCCAGTGTCAAGCTGAGGCTCCCACCAGACTTTCCATACTGCAGGAGCCCACATCAAGCAGTGCATCTTGCATGTCTGGATGGACAGTGGCATTCATGCCTCTCTGAGGTAGCTGATGTCTGGATCAGCTTCCATCTGAACCCTGAGATCTGCCCCTTGCTTGCTTGGTTAGAGGCCCAGAGCCTCACTTAGTTTGGGAGAATCTTAAAAGTTGCAGTCCCAAGTCAATGGAGGGAGAGGGGCCCAAGCTGCCCTGGGAAGAAGGAGCACAGGCAGAGGGGCCATGTCCCGTTTCTGTGGGGGCAGGGGAAGTGGGTGACTTGGGGCTCCCATGGGCTGATGCCAGCACCGAGCAATGCCACGTCGGGGGCTGTTGTGGATGCCTGTGGCCCGGCTGGCAGGCAAGCTGCTGCTGGCAAGCCACCTGGGACCACTGGTGGCCACAGGGCTGCCGGCTGCAGCAGGAGCATGGGCCCCGCACGTCGTGGAGACCATGTCCTCCCCTGCCCTGGGTGTAGCAGGCTACACTGGTCTACTCCGAACAAATGGTATTTCCTTCAAAGAAACTGTCAAGAGGACAGCTAATCTACAGTCCAGCAGAGACCACAGTCTTGACTTTAGCTCAAATATTCCAGAGGATGGTGTCTTCAAAGTTATCAAACAGGGGGTTTCTAGATCACGCTGATGTGGGACCTCTTTCTCAGCAGACAGCTGCAAGCAGACCTCTGAGCAGATATGGGTTGGAAGTAGAGCTGAGGACAGCAACCAGTGGTTGCACTCAAGAGAGGCAGAGCAGGGGGCACCATGCAGGACTCAAGGGAGGAGAATGAAGGCACAACCCAGCTCTCTGAGAGCAGCGAAGGCTGGCTGCTCCCCACGGTCAGGTGAGTCAGAAGCCAGGGATGCACCCCGAGGAGGCAATGCCCATGCTGGAGGGGGTCCCTCCTGCCGGGTCTGAGCACAGCAGGCAGAGCCAAGTGTCGGCAACAGCTTCAGGCAAGGCAAGCAGTCAGCCGGCTCCAACATGCTGGGCAAAAGGACACAGTGCGAACGGCAGGGCTGGAAATACGCTACAACATGGATTGAGCAGTCCATCCAGGAAAAAAGTCATCTACAGCTCAGGTCTAAGATCCATCCAGAAAACATGGCCAGGGCGGGGACTGGAGACCAGTACTCACACAGTGCAGCTCAGGTTAGGACTGAAGTCCCAGGGCCAGCCTGAAACCAGCCTCATGGGGCCAGGTGAAGGTCCCAGATGGGACTGGTCACCAGCCGTTAAGGCCCACTGGTGCCCTCAGGGCCATGACAGTTAATCCTGAAAGAGCAAATCACACCAGCCTGGCTGCCCGATCGGGTCTCTCACGCTCCGTAGGCCCTCAGGCTTCTTCCCTAGTCAATGACAAAACAGCATCAACTGCAGTGTAGTGTGAAACTGCAACGACCCGTATTCTGGCCACCATTCCCCATCATCCAGTTTATAATTTGGCAACCAGTCATTACAGTATCTTTTCATTTTGTCCTTGGATAAAATCATGGGATCCACCCTGAAGCAGTTCTTTAATATACAGCACCAAGGGCTATAGGGAAGAATTGTGGATTGGTCTGATCCCATTTCAACCAAATAATTAAAATGCCAGCTGCTGTTTTGTGCGCTCACAGACTGGGGTAATGGAAGAAATTATATTTGCTTCACTGTTGTCTATCCCAGCAACTTGTCTACAGCACACGGTGCAAAAATGAGCAAGAAGAAGGTTCAGAGAAGTCAGAGATACATCTGCTTGAGTGGAGAGGAGCTTCAGGACATGCTCATGACACAAAGTTTGTATTTTTGTACCTGCAATCTTACTGGGCCAGTTACGTAATTCTATTGTCTTACTCTTTCCAAAATGTAAGATTGATATGCCTAAATTTCCAAACATCTGTGCATTTCTTGCACTGCAACGAAGGAGTAAAGGCATTGAAATGTAAGGTAGCCATGAATAAATTGATAGCAGCTTGATATGCACCGATACGGGTGATGCTGTCAGAAACCAAGAAACAGATTTAATTGTGAACATCTAGATAACATGTGCGTGAATCTCAAACTGTTTACTAAAAGTAAGGCCTTTGTTAATATGAACGGACATGTCTGTCATACACAGAGGTTGTTTCTTGTGTCCTTGCAGTAACCTGAAGTAGGAAAATGTGATCACAACTTTGTAGCTCCTGACATTGGAGCCAAAAATGGGGTTTTGGAAACAAAAATGAAGAGTCTGGAAAGGAAAAATGAGGCTTTAGACACAATCAGTAGAGCTTTGGACCATAAAAAGATGCTTTCTGCCCTAAAAGTGAGGGTTTAAACCCTAAAAAGGAAACTGTGAGCCCTGAGAATGTCTATGGCTAATAAAAGATGGGTTTGGACCAGAAATATGAGGATTTCAGCCCTGTAAATAGTATTCCAGGAACTCACACGGGTGGGCGAGTGGCTGTGGTGGGTGGCCGGTCTGTGAGGTCACAGTGCCCCGCGGTGACACGCCCTGATGCGCTGTGCTGTGCCACCTGCACCGCTCTGGCAGTGGTACCAGTGGCAGCAGCAGCAGCAGCAGCATGGCGCAGGCACAAGGGGCCGTGGACCCTGCGCACCTCTTCCTCCTCCTCCTCCTTGTGGTCCTGAAAGCCCGCGGTGCCCGGGCTGCTCCGTGGCGAGCACGGGCATTAGGTAGATGAGCAGTTGAGGGCCGGCGCCCAGCCCTGGGCAGCGTGGTGCAGCGCCCACCACCCGTCGGGGTAGCAGCAGGGCTGGGGTGGTGGTGGGGCAGGGCTGGGAGAGCAGTGGGACCGAGCTGGGCCGGGTGAGCTGTGGCCAGCTCGGTGGGCAGGCAGGAGGCAGACGCCCTGCCGAGAGGTGCAGGGAGACGTGGGCACTGTGGGGGGAATTTCCAGGTGAACAG